GTGTGCATGTCTTCCAACCCCCACTTCTTTCTCCCTTTTACTTACCTGCTTTGATGGTTAGTACTAAGACATATTTAATTTAGCATCCTTATGCTATGCATGCGTGCATCATTCATCAGTATTGCATGTATCGGGCTCGGCGCATCATACTAACTGCATAGTATTTCAAATCTAAACTTGAATATGTGCATCAAATGGTTGCATTCCACATGACATACTAGGATTAGCCAGGCCTATCCTAATTGCATTATGTATGCGTTGCATTAGGCACTTAACATGGACTTGGATCGTACATTGATTGTTAACGAGTTCTTTGTTTTGGCTTGGAGTACCCTGTAAGCATTTTGTCCTTTAGCATCTCGCACAAGTGTGAATGTTAACATGACAGCATGCTTGCCATGTGGCTAGATGCTTATGTGATATGAACTGCCTGAATGCCTGTGGGTGAAGGTTGGATTGCTTGAGTTGGAACAACTCATCAAAATCCGTGTTTTAGCCTATTCGCGAGTAGCAAATTTCAAAACATTTTCCAAACAAACGGATATGCGATGCTTTGTTCCAAATTAGGCGATCTAGTCTATACTTGTTTGCTGTGCGCATAACATAGTAATTCTAGGCTAATAACCGGAACAGGAACACATAATGCTTTCAAAACAAGATATCACGGTTAGTAGAGGCCGATCTTTGATCGGGCGAGAGGGGGTGCTCATAGCTGACCTTCCCCAATCGTACGCAAGTTCCCGAGCCGAGGCAACTTTGGTGATGACGGACACGTGGCCTTTGGCACCGAGTCAGGGTTTCCTAAATTTTTCAAAATGAAATATTTACGTGGGGACTCTGTATCTGGCAAAGCAGTCCATGTTTGGCACTTCTTTTCTAAAAATCTGTTTTTCTCAAAAGAATTTGCCAGATTTGGACACTTTGGTTCAGATTAAGAACCGTGACAATTTGAGAGTCCTGAACTGTAGTGAACCCAATATGAACAGAATGGGACTCATCCTCCCGGGACGTTCGGGGATGTCAACAGCACAATCCTCATTTCAAGGCACAAAAGGACACCTCTTCAAGGCATGAAAAGGGTGATGGATGCAAGCATAGGAACATGGATTAGGGACTGAAACGGCATGTGAAATGACTCCAAATCATTGAAATAACCCAACTAAAACATGCTCATGACTCACACCCTCAAGGCTCACAAGCCAAAAAACAAAGGGGCTATATCAAACATGGTAAATATGATCAAATAAGCTCCCAACAGACCTTAAGTATGGTAAGATATGGCTAAGAACTTCACAAAGTTAGGCCAAAACATGAGAGCATAGTAGGTTAAATGCATGATGCACTTCTAGGCATAACGGGGGAATACAAAGCAAGTATATTATACATGCAAGGGACCTTTAATACGACCAAAAACAGAGGCATAATATGACCCAATAACACCCCATCTGATATGAGTGCCCTGAGAATGTTAAATCGTGTTATAATGCTCTTCCACACGAAATACTTGACATTTGTATCCTGAGTAATGGCCAACGGCTTTGTCTCAGCCCACTTAGTAAAGTAATTTGTAACAACGATCAAAAAATGTTTATTGCCTATCTAGCCCCCACTGAGCAAAGCGCCAAGGTTTAGTCAAAGAAGTCAACTCTTCGACAGACAGATGCATAAGAGGAGAGAACGTTTGGCATTGCTTGCAATTTTTTGACATATTCATTTCAATTAGTTCGCATGGTCGGCCACCATTATCCTTGAGTTATTGCCCTACGGACTAATGATCAACTTCTCGAATAGGCACTATAACTCCTCTTATGTATTTCGCCCAAGAAATCTTCAACCCTATCCGGTTGGACACACTCAAGGTAAGGCCCCGAAAGAGATTTCTTGTATAACTTCCCCTCTAGGTCAAAATAATACCATAAGGCTTTGTTGTGTAGTTTATGAGCCTATTTTTTAATCCTCCGACAGCTGTTATAAAGCTAGAAATGTGGCTATAAGATCCATCCATCTCTGACCCCTCTTGATGACAAGTACAGTAGGCTCTTTCTAGGGTAGATTAATGCTCAGCCCTGGAATGAAACTTATTTCAATGGTGCTCTTGACCTCCAAGTTGAAAGTTGAGGCCAAATAGGCCAAGGCATTAGCATGAGTGCTTTGATCCCAAGTTATCTGATTAAGTTCATGCCTGCCGAATCTTCCCAACAGGGGCACTAACCATCCTCATATAGGCCGCTGTAGGAGTCCCGGGGGGTACCCAAGCACATTCGGTAGTTTAGACTCTCGATTTTAGATCTGATATCACTAGTGCAATGTGAAACAGAAAGTGAGAGTCTGAATCTGATAACTTTTATAGAAAATACAATTATTGCAAAATATACCAGAAATGGACTATATCACCAGATCTCAGATTCGCTACCTAATCTTTTGGGGAAATTAGAAACACGTGGCTCTTACCAAAGGCCATTCTTCATCATAACCAAAGATGCCTCGATTCGAAACCTTAGGTATAAGGGGGGACGGTCATGAATTGAGAACCCCTGCTCACTTGATCAAAAGATCGACCTCTACTAAGCCATGATATGAGTTTTATCCACATTATATGCTCGTGCTCTGGTTATTTAATAATGCTAAAAATTACTATGTGAAGCAATCAAGTATTGACTGTGTCATTCATTTTGGAACGTTTGGACCTCATGTATTTTGAAAGAGTTTTGATGTATGTACAACTCAAATGAAACTAAGCCCACATGCATAAGAATCAATACTATTCCAAATTGAATGACACAACCTCTATCCACTAGTAATCATACAGATATATTAGTTAAGCATATAGCTGCATGGTAAGATGCTTAGACATAGTAAGAAAAATCATTCACAAGCATGATTCTAAAGCTATAAATGCCCGCCTAGTATTTACTCACATCCAACCATGAAGATGAAACAAAAGTGAGTAAAATATACATGGTCCTATATGCAAAATACTAATGCAATGCATACACAAGAACACAACTATAGATTCGGCTACTAACATTGGATACATGAATCATCTCAAGGCATGAATTAGAGCAAAACGACACATAAGAATTGATAAGACCCCACAGATGCAAATTGGCCAAATCCTAATGCATGAAAAATACGGATGCAAGTCATGGATACGATAAATAAAAAAATGATGGTTATTAATAGATATGGAAAGCATAGAAATAAAAGGGATAGAAAGACGTGGGGTTGAAAATTATTACAACAATTCCAATGAATAAGAAAGGGGGACGGGAGAGAGAGAGAGAGAGAGAGAGAAATTATTACAATAATTGAATGAATAATAATAAAACAAGGAGTGGGCTTAGAGGAGTTATTACAACAATGAATAGATTCAGCCAAATTACTGTTGAATCTAACAAATCATATTAAATAGATAAAAGACCTTGATTAGTAGCTCCAGAACCACCTAGGAGAACACTCCCCAAAAACTGTCACGTTCTGCTCTAGAAAATCTATCCAGCCAGACACAAATTTGTCTGGCCGACTGAAAAAGATGTCCCCCCAAAAATAACTTCTAGGGAAAACTCTGTTTGGTGCTGAAGGTCCAAAATAGAATCAAACTACATCTTTTAAGAGGTTCTCATCATTTTTACCACCATCTCTCATAGAGACATTGAAGAAAGAGGTAGATAGGCCTTAGCCCACAATTGACTATACAAGAGGCTGAATACAACAGGATATTTACAACAGTTTATCAAATTAAATGAATTAAAGCAAGAACAAATTCAAGCCTAAGAAATATATGGGAACCTACATCATCTATTTGTGAATAAGGTTAAGTTAATACCTAAATCCATGCTATTAATTGGAGAGAATAGATTAATGCACAATTGAAGTTGCCTACATATCCCAAAGATGGGAATCAAGCCTTACGTAGTTCGGGGTAAGGTACACTCGGGTATTAACCTCTCCTTTTGTGCTCTAACTTTTGCAAGGCCGCTTTTTCTGGGTTTTCAACCTTGCGAGCTTTGTTCTTTTCTTCTTTTCAATTTTTTCATTTCTTTTCTTTTTCATCTTTCCTTTTCATTTTCTTCATTTTTTCTTCTTTTTTTTTCTCTTTTTTTTTTTTTTCTCTTTTTTCCTTTTTCTTCTTTTTTCTTATTTTAAGTGATGAAAATGGCATGGGGAGGAATTCTAGGATTTGTGAGTTTCGAAAGCCATTTTTTGCCCGCCAAAATGATTGGTAGAGTGTACAGAATATTCCCCAAATAGTGTAAAACACCATGCACGATTCTGAATCCATTGCTGCGAGTTTGCGAAAAGTTAAAAAAAAAAAAAAGGAACTGCTTAAAATTTTGGAATGATCATGAAGACCGTTGCGACGACAATTTAGCATTTGTTAAAACCATTTGGGAGATCCTCGTCAATACTCGACCTTTACCCCTTGGACATTTTACACCTTTCCTTTGTTTAATTGAAATTTTCAAAGCTTTTCTTGTTTTCATTAGGTCACACATGGATTACTGAAGGCACAATTAAATGATCAAAAACTTGACTCTGTTTCTCTTATTGAAGGACGAAGACGCAAGGGTACACGAGTGCAGCTCAAAGGAAAAGAATCAATTGACACAACGACATAAGTAAAGACAAAGAAAACAAGACTCTAACTCGACACACGACTCAACAACCCGCAAGAGACATTTGAGAGTTTAACCAAAATCACATCATTAGCATCCTAGACACGAAAGAGTTTTCCATTTTCCAACTCTATCGGAAGAATTCATGATAGACTTCAAGTAGCCCATTGGTAGGTCCCATCCTGTCTTTACTTTAGCGTCATTATCGAAACCTTCCTGGTTGCCTCCGAACTTTTATTCAACTGAAGCAACTTCCCTTTGTAATTTCTCATGCCACGCCCCTAGTTCGGAAGGTCCTTTCCATGCACTTTTAACAACTGCCCTTAGTTGATCTTTAAACTTATTATTCCAATTATCATTGCTAGCAATAGTTAAAGAAGCCTCCTACTTTACTTTAACCCCATTAAGGTCAAGCTCACCAAGAATGAGTAACCCTTTTACCTCTTCAAAGAACTGTTCATTTTGCTCTTCTTTCTCAAAATTTTGATGAGGCAAGGATCTGAAGATTTAGGAATAAACACCATGGTTTGGGCTCGTTAGCGGGTATGATGTACTGACTTGAGTCAAAGTTGATTTATGGCTAGATATGGATGAAATTTATGTTATGGGGTGGTAATGGATTGGTGGTGACATTAGGCTTTTAAGGTGGAGCTATTGTTTTGTTGTCGATGAGATCTTGAATCTCATGATAAAGGCAATAGCAACAATCGATGTCGTGACCATGCTGTTGGTGAAAGGCTTAGTATTTGGTAGGGTCATGCTGTAGACACCCCATTTCTTACCGTCCTCAAGACTTGGACGTCATCGTTTGAACACTCGATGATCATCCATGCTCGTGTTCGTTTTGAGTTCCCGAAGGTCTCGGCTGTGCACCTTGCCTTAGGATCTCCCAACTTGTTTGTTTTGTGCTTGGTCATGGACCAAGGACTTGTGGCTTTTGCTTCTGAGGGAAGAGGGTGGCTTGTTGGCCATCCCTACAACCCATCGTCTAAGGCCTTGTGCCATCTGCCTTGTTTTCTTGCCATCGGCCATAAGTGGTGGCCGATCGACACTCTTTTTGGTTGATCGGCTATATTTCTTGGCCAAGACCTTTCCACCAGCTTTTGCAGATATTTTTGTGCCAGCTGTGACAGTTGGTAAGCACAGATCTCATCCTCCATATACGTGTATGGAGGGATTGATTCAAGACTCAAGCTTGCTCAACAAGCTTGAGAATTGAATTTCTATAAGAAGGGAGACCCCTCTCCCTTTCCAGAGGTTCTGAAAAGTTGATATACAAAACATATATCACTCTCTCTCAATATTTTACTTCGCTCTCCATATTTACCCTAGTTTGTGCTCAAAAGTGTATTTTCTATTTTCTTCATACTTTTGCACTAAAGCACCTACTAGAACACCATCCTTTTGTTGCTGAGGTACTTAGGAGTTGGTGTTAGTGTTTTTGGACTAGGTTTGGTCAGAAAAGAGTGTTGGAGTTATGTTTTTGAAGGTGTTCTTCAAGGGTGAGTCAACTAACCTTTAAATCCTTGTTTTGGTTTAAGCTTTTGGACCTATTTTCATGTTGATTTACGCTTAACTTTCTACTGTGAAAAGTTCTGATTTTTCATGCTTGTAATGTTTGTTTAAAGTCACTTTTGTGTTGGGGGTTATCTACCCCCTCTTAGGCCTTGTTTGGTCTTGTTCTTGTGCCTTCCTTTTAAGCTATTGGGACCACCTTGTTTTGGCCTTCTCACCACTGAAATCCAAAGGATTTTTAGTGGTGGAAATGGTGTTTTGAGGTCCCAAATAGGAGAGGGTCATCCCCTCTCCTTATGTCTCATATGCTTATATTGATGGCTCATAAAAGTAACATGTTTGTTAAGCTTGTTTTAGTTCCATATTAGCATGCATTAGACCTTAGTTCAGCATGATATACCTCTGTCTAAGGTTGGTTTCATAGCCTCTTGCATGCACCATGCACTTGTAGTGTAATCCTCTATATTGCCTTAACATGCATCTTGTGTTTGGATCATCATTCTTGCATGTTTTGGCTCAAACTCAAAGAAGCTTTCCCTCATGCTTTACCATGCTTGAGCTCTGTTTGATGTTGTTTTAGTCATGCATGCATTGCTTTGTATAGCCATAGTGCATTCTAGCTTGTTAGCTTGGAGTGTCCAAGTCACTAGCATGCATTGCTTAGACCATTTTCATGATTTTGCATCATTTCATATGTGATTTCAGTCCATATAGTGTGGTCATGCACTCACATTTTTCTCCTTTTCCATGCATTAGGAGGTTTGTGTTTTAAGCCTTGAACCAAGCAAGATCATGAAAATGGTGTTTTGGCCACTGATTTGGGCATGATTGAGATCTGTCCATTTTAGTTTAAGTCCATTTTGCATGCTGTTGCATGCTTGTCGCATTGCATGTTGTTCCATGCTTGGTACATTGCATGTTGTTGCATGCTAGTTGCATTACATAACATTGCTGCATACTTGTTGCATGCCATGTTGTTTACATGTTAAGGTTGCATTGCATTGTTTGTATGCCATTAGCTTTGTTAAGCTGTGCTTGCATCGCATTGTGTTTGGTTTGGGTGTTAAGCGAAGCACGAGGAACGAGGGACGTTTCATACTTGAAATGATGAAACGTGCCTCAATTCTCGGTCGCCGACCTTCTTGATCATGCATGATAGAGGTTAAGACATTTATGTGTTTTTATGCATTTCATCTATATTGATTTGTGCAACTCGGCCTCTTTGGCCATCATGCATCGAAATACGTGATTGATGGCTCGAGAGCCAAGCACTACACTCCTTTAAGCTTCAAACATGATAAGGAGTGCGGTTGTACAAACATTCTCTTGCAAATGTATTGCCATGCCTCTGTTTGTACTCTGCTGCAGCAAAAGGAGGAGTTTGCAGGAAGAGATGGCCGATCGGCTATCTAGTGTGCCGATCGGCTACAAATATTTGGCCGATAGTCTCAAAATTGGTTAATGACCATTATCCAGTGGTCGATATCCACCGCTCTTGGCCAATGACCTCTCAGAATGTCCATGAGGTAGGTCAGAAGCATCACAGAAGTTGGCATAACTTTCAGAGGTGCAGAGCAGTGCAAACAGAGGCAACATGAGGCATGGCAACGGATTTCCGAGCGAAGTCGATCGAGCATGCATATGACCTTCTTCTCGAGGCCGTTTTAACTGCTTTGTATAGTTAGTTAATTTGTAATTAAGTAGTTAATGTGTTAGCTAATTTAATTCATCGTTGTAAATTCTTAATTAGCTTAGCTTAGCTAATATTCAATTTGATTATGTAATAATTAGTCCAATTAGATTATTAGATTAGTTGCTTAGCGTAGTGTAGCTAGCTTGTATTATTCATTCGGACCCTCCTCCGAGAGGGCGATTTTGTAATAAGTGTGCGTGAGTGTGTGAATGTCCTCCAACCCCACGTCTTTCTCCCTTTTACTTAACCGCTTACGATGGTTAGTTCTAGATCATGTTTTGGTTAGCATCCTTATGCTTGCATGTTTGCATTCATTCATCTGTCTTGCATGCATCGGGCTCGGCGCATCATACAAACTGCATTGTATTTCAATTCCAATTTGAATACATGTTTCAATTGTTGCATTTCACATGCCATCTTAGAATAGCCGAGCCTATCTTAGTTGCATTTTTGCATGTGTTGCATTAGACATCTTAACATGAACTAGGATCATGCATGATTTCTAACTAGTTCTCTGTTTTGGCTCGGAACACACTGTAAGTGTTTATGTTTTAGCATCTTGCATGTGTGTAAGTGTTAACATGATAGCATGCTTGCCATGAGACTATTTGCTTAACTGATATAATTGCATGAATGCTTGTGGATGAAGGTTGGATTGCTTGAATTGGAACAATTCATCAAAATGCGAGCTTTAAGCCCACTTGAGGTGGCGAAATCATGTTTTCTAAGTCCACTTGAGGGTGGAAAATCCACGTCTTATCCTACTTGCAAGTAACACCTTCAAACCATTTTCAAACAAACAAACATGAGATGTTTTGTTCCAACTTAGGCGATTTAGTCTATACTTGTATGATGTGCGCATCACATAGTAATTCTAGATTAATAAACCAGAATAAGAACACATGTGCTTTCAAAAACAAAATATCATGTGAATAAAGGCAGATCCTTTGATTGGGCGAGCGGGGGTGCTCATTGCATGACCTTTCCCTCTCGTACCCAACACTACTAAAAATACAGATAAAGATCACACTTTTTTTGTGTGATGTATGTTTTTTAATCACACCTTTTAAGTTTTATTAAAGTGTGGTCTTTGGGAGTGTGATTAAAAAGGGTCAATTTTTAATCACACTTTTTAAGTGTCATTAAAAAATGCTTCATCACATCTTTTAAGTGTGATTACTAATATTTAGATTATACCTTTTAAGTGTGATTAAAAATATTTAGATCACACCTTTTAAATGTGATTAAAAATATTTAAATCACACATTTTAAGTGTGATTAATAAAATTTAGATCACACCTTTTATGTGTGATTAAAAACATTTAGATCACGCATTTTAAGTGTGATTAAAAATATTTACATCACATCTTTTAAGTGTGATTAAAAATATTTAGATCACATCTTTTAAGTGTGATTAATAACTAATAAAACCTGTGATAAAAAAAAAAAGAATTCGACATATTTAAAGAATAATTATTTTTGTACGCGCATTTGAAGAATATAATACACACTATATACTATATTTTGAATCACAACCATAAATTGAATGGGATAACGTCATATATTTCATAAATGAAAATTAAATGTTCAAAAGTATGTACAAAGAAATTAATAAAAAGTTTTTAACTGTGATTACATATATTTAAAAAAAAAAAAAAACAAACTTGAAAAGACTAAGTTCTTGAATTCTTTGACCATATTTTGCATCTCTCCAAGAAATTTTTGACCTGAAAAATAAAAAAAACAAATTAATTCAGAAACCGCTAGAAAATAAAAAAACACAATACAACTTTAAACCATTCTAATAAAATAAAAAACACAATATCTACCAAACTGCATTTAAAAATTGAAGGATTTATTTGGTTATGAATTTTGAATTTTGCCTATGTATAAGATACTTTCATTATTTGGTTATGAATTTTGAAAAAAGTTTTGAGTTATATTTTGAAATTTTTTAGATTTACTTTTTTAAATATTTAAAAAATTTCTTAATTTTATTTTTTTAGGGTAAATATTTTATATTTTAAATATTTATTTATTATTTTAATATGCACTATATTTCATACATTTGTGTGCTGTATTTTTTAAAAAATATTTTTAAAATATTAAAAATTTTACAAAAATTATTTTTTATTTAACTATATAATTTTTTGTAAATATTTTATTTTATTTTATAAATATATTTTTAAATATTTTAATTTTTTTTGTTATGTGTTTGGTTACAATTTGAGTGTGGAGTTTTGAAAATAGTGTGGAGATTTGAATTATGTATTTGGTTATGAGTTTCCAAAACTCATAACAAAACAGATATTCTCATTTAAAAACTCAACTCACAATTTCACAGTTAAATCATAACTTTACACTCAAATCATAATTCCAAACTAAACCAAACGGAACATTTTTAAAGGGATTTTAATGCTCATGTAGGTTTCCAATGAGAGGTTGAGAAGGATCCTCGGGAATAAAATTTGCATGTATATAATTCTACCAACTATGAATTATCACTGAATAGGAACAACAAGCTGGTAATTACAGTAGATGTCCCAATACCAAAAAAATAGCAAATTGAAGACTCAAATTTTAAGAGCAACAGTAGAGCACTCAAAAGTTTGAGTGTACTACCAGCTTGTTGGTAATTACAATATAACGTGTGCACCTTATAGTGCTCTTCAAAAAGTTTTCTCAAATTTTAAGCTATATGCATGAAGTCGAACAACATGTGAGAAAAGAACTTTATCATCCCCAAGAAAACTTTTTTTTTTTTTTTAAAAAAAAGGGAGTCCAAAATGCAATGTACATACAGACGTGACAGAGCAAAAATGGGCAAAGATGCAGCATGCCTTGCAGCCTCATGTGATCCTTCTATCTTGTCCCTCAACGTCGTGCATAAACTTGCCGTTAACTAATAAGCATGGTAATATTTTGAAGAGCACTATAAGGTGCACACATTACATCTTTACTTGCAAAAAGATTTATGAATCAACAATGAGTGAGTCCTACCTGAGATGACACTGTACAAAACTTATTAGCTATTTTGGTCACCTTGGAACTCAATATAATATTAGTCTGAAAACAATTCCAAATATGGCCAGAGGGAGCTATCAAATGAGATATTTCAGAATCATCTTATACGAATCTTATTTTATTTGGTAAATTGGTTATTTTCAACATAGGAAAACAATACATATAACTGAGGAACAAAGAGGAAATGAGAAGGAAGATATTGCATTCATACCTTGAACCAGGAAGCCAACCACTTAGACCAACAATAGCCCTCAAGTTAACAGGGTAATCGATCCCATTTCCATATTTTCCTTGGGCAAAACAAGTTGCAGAGTAGAGGGCAATTGCAACACCCATACTAAAACCCCCGATACCAAGTTTAACTGTAAATGAGTTAATACAAAAATAAATAAATAAATGAAAAAGGATAGAATTCCTAAACAACACGGTGGTAATTTATTAATGATTGTTGATGAAACTTTTCATCACGATAGATAAATGAACTACAAACTAAACACATGGAAATTAAGTAATTTAATGGACTATAATCAATGAAGTAACAAGGCAAAAACTTATTATCAGCAGGCTCTGTTGACAACAAGTTTGCAATAAGCGCTACTGAAGCGTCTAAACCTTCGAAATCACCAGGACTATCTTCTGAAAGTTCTCTAATGTCAAACCCTAATACGAAACCACAAAAGCACTTTAGATAATTGTATCAATATCTCAGCATTGGAAGAAATCTAAGCTTTAATCTTACATGCAGTGCATGGAAATCCACCAAGTATAGCCACAGGGCAAGTAGGAACAGTTGGGCATATCCACTTGATCTGCATCACAGAATTTGAGCATAAAAAAATGATAAGTAGCAACTAAGTTTTGCAAAAATCAAAGAACAATATACACGTGCATGGTCATGAGGCTAAGCATAAAGTTCAAAAATATTTCAAGGGATACGTGTCCTTACAATTGGAAGAGCAAGTTTTTCCAAGAGTTGGGACCAGCTACAATAACAAACACAACACAGAATAAACATTCTAATTATGTGATTCCTCAACTGATTATAGCCTAAAGCATCAGATTTAGACAAATATATTGTAGCAAACTAAGAAGTTTAGATTAGCATAAAAATAGTAACTCGCACAAATCCTGCGGAAAGGTAACTATATTGAAAACTCTCAAATTGAATAATTTGATACTATAATACGGAATACAGAGGCACAAAGACTTCTATGGCAGGATATGAGAAAGAAGGGAATAAAGGGGCACAAAGACTTGCATAGCTATAAATCTCTTGTGGAAGCTTCGAATGTGGATGTTTAAAATGTCAGGATATCTAGTATAAATATGCAAAAGTTTTCCTCATCTCCTGTATTCCTTTGTCTAATGTTGTGATAATCTTCATTTTTGTATTTTTCAGACTATGCCTGAAACAAGCTTTCAAAGAGTTTCATTTGCAACAAAACTCTTCTATCTATAACAATACATGCCCAATTTTCTATTCTTTGCAAGAAAACTCTTCCATCTATAACAATACATGCCCAATTTTAACTTTCAGTCCAATAAATCCCAATGAAACTACCAGATAATGCGTGGCACTTGAAAACAACCTCATTAATGAGAAGCTTCTAAAAGCACACTAGAATGATGCCCACCGATGCGTTCTAGTGCTTTGTTTTAAGTAAACACACACAGCTTAAGACTGTCTAGAATCACTTCAATGACGGTTTTGGTATGCTTCTTGCAGAAGCCTTGAAAGCCTTTTGATTTTAACCCTAGGGTTTCAGCCATTAGCATCCATTTTGTACATCAGTGGGGTCTATGCAGTTAGCTGTTAGAAGACTGGAACTACCAATTAATATTAGTTCATCTATTGTGATACACTTTGAGATCTTTCTGAAAATTTGATAAAATCACAAAAGAACAAAAAAAAAATTAAATAAATAAAATAAAATTATAATACAAAATTAATTTGAATAATGAAGGGGACAAATGTAAATTTTCATGCATTAGTAATTTTGCATACAAAAATTCAGTTCATATAACGTTCAAGATTCAATGGAATATTTATTGCTCCAATTCTCAGCAACCAAACAGAGAAAAGAACCCCACATTGACTATTTGCTTCATTTTCTCGGCAAAAAAAAAAACAAAAAAAAAACCTTTATGCAATTTTTTGGGAAACAAATAGAAAATTTGAGTGATTAGAGGAGTACCTGAGAGGGAGGAGAGAGTCGAGTTCGTACTGGATCTCATTGCGAAGACAAAAAATCATTCCCCTTTTCTCATTCCCTTCCCCTCACCTCTCCCTAGCAACCCCTTTGGTAACCATCCTCCAGGACCAAACTCAGCAATCTCCTCGCCTATCCTCCACTTCGACGATCCAACTACTCCTTCCCAGCCCCTCTGCTATCGCAGAACCATGAGAGAGAGAGAGAGAGAGAGAGAGGGGGGGAGGGGGGAATCCGAACATACCTAGATCAAAGCTTTTTTAAGTGTGATTAATGTATAGTGAAACATTTAAGAGCCCCTTCCTTTTTAAAGCGTACAAGTTGGAAAAAATTAAAATAGATAATTCAGTTTTGGGTTTGAGATGTCTTCTCTTTGAAGTATACAAGTTGAAAAAAAATAAAAAAGACAAAATATATTGTATCTACCATCTTCATATATTTATCTTTATGATTTTCTCTCGTCTGGGGACAGGCTAATTTAATAACTTTTTGACTATTTGG